GCTAATATACATTTAAGGTTCCTCCATGTCTTTTCATGGCTTGATAGCTCATTTATTTTTAGTGTTGAGTAATAGTCCATTGTATGGATACACCATAGTTTATTTATCCATTCACCTAATGAAGGACATCTTGGTTGCTTCAGGTTTTGGCAATTATGACTAGAGCTGCTGTAAACAACCATGAGCAGGTTTTTGTGTGGGCATAAGTTTTCAGTTCTTTCAAGCATTTGATACAAGTGCTTCCGAAGATCTAGAATGCAAAGAGTTCAATCCCTGGATCACATGGTAAGAGTGTATTTAGTTTTGTAAGATACTGCCACATTCTCTGCCAAAGTGGCTGTATTATTTTGCATTCCCACCAGCAACAAATTAGAGTTTCCATTGTTCCACATCTTCACCGCCCCTGGATCACATGGTAAGAGTGTATTTAGTTTTGTAAGATACTGCCACATTCTCTGCCAAAGTGGCTGTATTATTTTGCATTCCCACCAGCAACAAATTAGAGTTTCCATTGTTCCACATCTTCACCGGCATTTGGTGTTGTCAATGTTTTGGATTTTGGCTATTCTAATAAGTATATAGTGACATCTCATTATAGTTTTAATTTACAGTTCCCACTGGGCACGTTACCTCATGCCTATAATCCCAGCACTTTGGGAGACCAAGGCAGGCAGGTCACATGAGGTCAAGAGTTTGAGGCCAGCCTGGGAAACATGGCAAAACCCTGTCTCTACTAAAAATACAAAAATTAGCCAGGCATGGTGGCCACACCTGTAGTCCCAGCTACTCAGGAGGCTGAGGCAGGAGAATCACTTGAACCTGGGAGGTGGAGGTTGCAGTAAACAAGACTGTGCTACTGTACTGTAGCCTAGGAAATAGAGCAAGACTCTGTCTCAGAAAAAAGAAAGAAAAAATTTGCAATTCCCTAATGACTTATGACGTTGAATATGTCTTCCTATGCTTATTTGTCATCTATATATCTTCTTTGATAGAGTGTTCTTCTTTGGTAGACCTGTTTATGCCTTTTGCCCATTTAAAATCAGGTTGCTCATTTTCTTATTCTTGAGCTTCAAAAGTTCTTTGTATATTTTGGATCTTAGTTCTTTTTTAGATGTGTCTTTTACAATTATTTTATCTCATTCTGTAGTTTGTCTTCTCATTCTCTTGACAGTTTCCTTTGCAGAGCAAACATTTTTAACTTTAATAAGGTCCAGTTTATTAAGTGTTTCATAGATTGTGCCTTTGATGTTATATTTAAAAGGTCATTGCTTTTTTTTTTTGAGATGTAGTTTCACTTCTTGTTACCCAGGCTGGAGTGCAATGGCCGATCTCGGCTCACTGCAACCTCTACCTCCTGGGTTCAAGCAATTCTCCTGCCGCAGCCTCCCGAGTAGCTGGAACTACAGGCGCACGTCACCATGCCCTGCTAATTTTGTATTTTTAGTAGAGATGAGGTTTCACCATGTTGACCAGGATGGTCTCCATCTCTTGACCTCGTGATCCACCCACCTCAGCCTCCCAAAGTGCTGGGATTATAGGCTTGAGCCACCATGCCCAGCCAAAGGTCATTGCTTTTAAGAGGTCATCTCAATTTTCTACTATGTTAACTTGTAGGAGCTTTATAGTTTTGTATTTTACAGTTAGGTTTATGATCCACTTCCAGTTAATTTTTGTGCAAGGTGCAAGGTGTCTAGATTTTTTTTTTTTTTTT